CACCCACTTTCTGTCACATTGTTCCATTTTCATCATCAACCAAACTTTCAGGATATTATTAAAGACCAAAAGAAAGGAGAGGCCAAGCTTCATAACGCCAGCTTTTGGAAGGATTCGTGGTGGTCCAACAACAACAAGAACCGAGGAGAATTTCGAATAATAAGAACAATTCAAAGAGATCAGTGCCTCTTCATTTGAAATTATACTAAAATATGCAAAAAGAAATTTGATCGAGTGGTTATGAGATTTTCTTTTGATACGGGAGATCTTGAATCAAGGCCTGCAATGCACAATCTATATTCCTTCTTTCCCTCTTCCGCCTCTTGTTGAGTCACAAGCGAAAATATTGTATTAAGACGTTGGTACATAGTTTTCATTCGTTATGATCATCCTCATTATTGCTAATGTAACTACTATTTTTTTATAAGGGTGATAGTTTTATTAATAAAAGGAAAGGAAACAGGGGAGAACTAAGAGAGTTCACAAGAGCTCTCAGGTCCGAAGTTCAAACAATAAAAAAGGGGGCAGGCAGCACAAAACAATGCGCAACACCTGAAAAAGGAAGAAAAAGAGGAGGGCATCTGAGTGGATCAGGCCCCTCCTGCTGCACCAACAAAAGAAGAATGATATTCGGCTTTAATATCTCTGATTCTTGGACTTTATGTGATTATCCGTGGTATGTTTTAGCCAATTGGTGTTATTTTAAGGCTCGCTAACCGAGAATGGTTGAAAAACCATTACTGCCTAGTGCTATGAGTTTGATGTATTACAGGTAAAGAAAACACGAAAAAGAAGTTGCACCGGCAAACAATGCTCGAATGCTGGGCTTAAAGCCCAGCTGGATGGCAATTAATTGAGAATTGGCCCAAGTGAATTTTGGGGCCGGACATCATTTCTGGAGGAGGGGGATTTGGACGGAAGAGAAGAAAAGATTTGGCGGCTGGTTTTTTCTCCAGGGGAGAGGCAATTTAGGGCGGAGCAGCAGCTTGTTCGAGGGAAGAGAATTTTTGGGCGGCTCTTGTGGTTTTTCCGCGGGCGGAATTGTTTGGCGAGAAGAAAAATAGAAAGGCAGCGAGCAACGAGAGGCAACTTTGGTTTTTGGGTTTTTTTGGCGGACGGAATCTCTGGGAAGAGAGAAAGAAAGGCAGCGCAGCGGAGGAACAGAGTTCTTTGTGGGGAAGAGGGTGTGGTGAATTGGTGATTAGGGGTGGCAATACGGTCCGGTCCGGTTAAATTGGCCCGAATTGATCCGGTCCAGTCCGGTCTTTTTGGAAATATGGGGATCAAAACTTGGATTGGGTACAGTCCGGTTTTGACCCAGTCCGGTCCCAATCCGGTTTTGACCTGTTTTGACCCGTTTTGACCATGTTGCAAAAAATTCAGCAGCATATACCTATTTTCTTGGAATGTAAACAACCTGTTTGTAGCAAAAATCAAGCCAAATATGGTCCAATACAAAATCACAACCATCATTGATGTCTATTACAAACTCAAAGTCCAATTCAAACTTCAAAATAAAAATAAAGTGCATCACAAGTTCACAAACAAAGTTTAGACATCAAACACCAAATTCACTCCAATCTAACAAATTCACCAAACCATTTCTACTCATCAGGTTCAAGAGAAATAAATGAAGCATTAGATCCACCTCCTTGATTTGTTCCACTCCTCGAGCCAAACACATCACTCCCTCCGACATTGCTCGTACTTGTACCTTCGTGTTCATTCACATGCTCACACCTTTTCGCCTCATCCACCATAATAGCATTGTAAACTAAATGACATGGATAAAAAAAAATATAATTGTTAGCAATAGCATTTATATGGCCAAAACTAAAAACTACAAAATAATTTACTTACCATTCACGAAGTCTTCTTGATCCTCATAGTCATCATCTTCACCATCAAGATGCTCCACAAACTCACTAGAACTTGATCTAAGCCAATCTTGACTGCATATGAGATCTTCCACAATCTTAGGATGCAAAGAGCTCCTAAATTCATCTAAAACACGCCCAATTGTGCTAAAAACGGACTCGGAAGGAACAGTTGACATAGGAATAGCAAACAGATCATTTGCCATCTCACTCAAGATGGGATACCTCATAGCATTAGTCTTCCACCACTTCACACATCAAACTCTTCTTCGGCATCATCATATTCTCGAGGGTGAACAAGATACTTCTCCAACTCACTCTTAGTATGACCAGCTTGAGGTTTTCCATAATCATCATCAGGATCATAATCATCATAAGATTCATCAGAATCACTACCTGACCTCGGTGAACTTGAAGTGGCAACTTGTACTCGACGTTTTGAAGGAGAAGAAGGAGCAGGGGGAGGCATCTTACTCTGATAATATTCAAACAACTTCTCAAGTTCATCATTCAACTCTTTCACCAAAACTTTTGCCCTATCATCTCCACACATCTTCTTGAAAATATGTTCCGGATAATTCATCTTATGCCTCGGATCAAACACCACAGCCATGTAAACCAACCTGTTCAATCTGAAGTTGACACAATCCTTCTCCGACCAATATTTGTCAACTTTAGCCTTCATCTTCATACCCATCCTAACTATGTTATCATCTGTGCTATTCATCATTTTCTCAACATGATAGAATACCCTTCCAAACTCTCTCAAGAATCGATGAGCAGTCACAACAGAAGTAGTGGATGCAATCAAAGTCAAATCATGAAAGAATTTCAAATACTTCATCAAAACTTTTGCATTCTTCCAATCTTCATGTTGAGGGACACCAATTTCTTGATTCTTGTATCTCTTTGCCTTGAGCTCAGGCTTGTAATCCTTATCCTTCCTCTCAAGACTAGAGAATGCATCTTCAAACAACACAGCAGCTTCAAGCATGTAGTAGGTGGAATTCCACCTTGTAGGCACATCTAGACTCAACATCTTCTTGGATTCAATGTTGTGAAATTCCACACACTCCTTGAACTTTGCCAATCTAGATGGTGATGATCTAACCCATCTCACAGCCTCTCTCACCCTCCTTATTGACATGCCCATCTCTTCTAAACCATCGCTCACAATCAAATTCACTATATGAGCGATACACCGCATATGAAGGTACTTTCCACCAACTATATTAGTACCCCATTCTTCAAGTCGATCTCTCAAATGAAGAAGTGTCGTGTCATTTGCACTTGCATTGTCAACTGTGACGGTGAAAATATTTTTCAAACCCCAATGCTCCAAACAATCGGCTATTGCATCACTTAGATCAATCCCCTTATGACTTGTAATCTTGCAAAAACTTATCACCTTCTTGTACAACTTCCAATCCTTCCCAACAAAATGTGCAGTGATGCACATATAGTTGAAATTTTGACAAGAAGTCCAACTATCGGTAGTTATGGACACCCTTCCTCCACACTTGATCTTGAAGTAATCTCTCAACTTGCCCTTCTGTTCAAGAAACAATCTAAAACAATCTTCTCTAACACTTCTTCTGCTTGGAATCTTAAACATCGGACAAGCACGTGCCATGAAGCGGTTAAACCCTTCTTTCTCCACACTCCTAAAAGGCATTTCATCCAGAATTATCATTTCAACTAACCCAGCTCTGATAAATTCTTGATCAAATTTCCAAGTCCCCAAAACTCCTTGCCCTTCAACAGAAGTTGGATTGAGTTCTAGATTCAATTGCTTCCCCTTTTCTTTTTGTTTCTTTAAGCACCTTTGAGTATGCCTACCCAAAGAACTTGTACCATTTCCCGAGGGATCCCCAGCCAGTGACTTTCCACAGTAATGACACTTTGCCTTCTTCTTGCCTTTGGCATCTTTGTAACAATCATAATGCTGCCATACAGGTGACCTTAACACATACTCCCTATTGGTCTTCTCCATTTCAGGTGTTGTTGTGGTGTTGGTAGCTGCTGGCCGTTCTTGTTCTTGAGTGGCAGCGGCTTGAACATTAACATTTCCACTATCATTCCCACTTTCAACAGCTGCCTTTGAAGCTTGTGGTTGTGGTCGCTTCTTACTAGGAAGAGGAGGCAAATTTCCACTTTCTCTTGATGCCGGAACTCGCTTCTTACTACCCTGCACAACACAATTCAATCAATATCAGAAAATGCACTTTACATCACAGCAAAACAATCAATATCGCGGTGGTTGTATGCTGTATGCTAAAAGTTTATATGAAGAAGGAAGAGATATTTGTAGCCTGTAGCTGCCCTAACCTTACATACATTTCTAAAACCTTACATACATCTCTATAACCACTACAATTCGTCAATTCCCCCTGCTAATTGCTAAATAACAGCAAACAACAACAGCAAACAGTATATTGATCATCACCTAGCCCATGAGATTGTTAAATCAACAATCAATCCAAGCGAGGCCAAGTTTTTAAGATCACCTTCTGTCATGCAGCTGAATGACGAGGATGATGATTTGTTCACTCCAATGACAATAGGATAAAAAAGCTCTCTACTTTGTGTTTCTCTCAAGCAAAATGTAACAATTTTATGATGTTCTGCAATGTTAAGATATCATTATGCCAATAGGCGGTACTGATGTGTTAGGCTTTGGCGGATAGCTTTGATGGCTCTCTCGACTTGTTTGCTTGAACAACAGCTTAACTATTACTAAGGAACTTTTTTCCCTTTTATAAATGTTAACTTTGCATTGTTAAGGAACTGGTCTTGCATGGAACTTCTTAGTTAGTCTACTGGAAGAGAAATCACTCTGAAATCATACATCGATGTTGGATGGAAGTTTGAACATTTTATTCTTGGTAGTGAGATAACAAGCAGAACATTGCTGCAACTAGTAATACCATTGGCTTTTGGCCAGAAAACAGTATATTGATCATCACCTAGCCCATGAGATTGTTAAATCAACAATAACTTACCCAGCTGCTGCTCCCTTCCATATTTCTGACTTTTGCAGCTGTTGCCGGCTGTGCTTGTAGACGAACGGACGGCGACGAGATGCAGGGTCGTCTTTTGGAGCTTTCTGGGTCGTCTTTTGGAATGGAGGGCGACGGCCGACGAGATGTTGGCTGGCTGGTCGCGCGGCGTCGTGGAACTGATCGGCGGTGGTCGCGACGGGACGGAGTTGAGGGCGGAGGCTTCCTGGGTCGCGACGGGACGGAGTGGAGGCTTGCAGGTTGCAGCTGGGTCGCGACGTCACGTCGCATAGAGGAGGGAGGCGACCAGCAACGAGAGGAGGTCGATCGCCGTCGCCGTCGCGATGGTCCGAGACTCCGATGGGAGGCGGCAGTTCACTTTACTCTCGAGGGAGAGGTCAGAGGGAGGCGGCAGGCGGCAGCAGAACATAAATGAAATTGAGGTCTGACTTCTGAGGACTTACCCAGCAACCCTAGAAGCTCGCCTGAGCCGGGGTGAGTGGGCCGAGAGGCCATGGGTTGGCCTGTCCCTGGGCTGGGCTTATTCTGGGCCTCTAAATCTGTTTTTTAATTATCCGGTCTTCCGGTTTTTACACGGTTTTGATTCGGACTGGAATGGTCCGGGTTTTTTGTTAATTCTAAGACCAAAGACGGGATTGGATTGTTTTAAATCCGGTCCCGGTCTTAAAACGGTCCGGGTTTTACGGTCCGGTTTCTGGTTTTCAATCCGGTCCCAGTCCAAACTGCCAGCCCTATTGGTGATCAGTTTTCCAAGGCTTGAGCTGAATTCAACGAGAGCGATTGGTTGGTTGGATTTTCTAAACCGAACTAGTTGTTTATTGTTGATTTAGAACATGATGAACAAAACTCTAATGTTTTATCTCAATTTCGTCATGAACTAAACCCCGATTTCTGGGGGAAACACCATAGGATGTAGCTATTTCTATATTTGATGGATTGATTCATATCTCTTTTCTTCCAATCTCTATTGCATGAAATTACTTAATGCTTTGTGTTGACTGGCCACCAATACAACGATTTGTAGTTAATTAGGTTATTAGCGACAGTGAAACCCTAATAACTGAACATATTTCATGTGACATAATAACTTATCGAAGCGACAGTGGATTAAATAAGGTGCTATGCGGTCTTGAATAGGATATCGGGCATAAGACTATATAATTAATTCATTGAGCTACGACAGTAGGATTTGAATTGATTATTTAGTGCGTAGTAATTCCCGACAGGGATAGCTAGCACAGTAGTGATATCCTGGCTGTAGAAATATGGATTAAACTGATTGGAATATGTGAATTAATTTTGATATGATAGGTAGCGAGTCCCGGTGTTTCTCCCAGAGCTTTCTCCCATTGAATTTCTACCGACACGTTTTAATTTGCTTATTTTGTTTAATTATTTTGCCATTAGTTAATAATTTCATCAACCAAACCATTTCCACCTATAGTTTACTCCATAGAATTGATATATCATAAGGTTGTACCAGTCCCTGAGAGACGATACCCGGACTTTTCGGTTTTACTACAAGATAGGAATTGAAGCTATACGCTTTTGCCCTATCAAAGAACAAACAGGAACCAGGTCACAAGTCACGATCGCTAGGGCAAGTTTTGGGAGAGAAGCCAAAGCCACTCGTTTCTGTTAATCTTGCTGATTAGCCCCTTTGCCGCCACCCAGCTAAGAAGAATTCTATCGATCTTGTGGAAAATGGATTGCCAATTTAACTACTATTTGAAGCAAGTAAATGGAGCCACAAAGGGTTATAGTGGAAGCAAATGACATAATATTATTTTGCTGACAGTAAACAACCCGAGGTATTAATGAGCACCATTTCTTGATACTTTTTTTCTTGATTGTTCATTAAAAAAAAAAGCATGAACTGACAGAAGAAAATTATCCATTTTTATGGTTTTCAAAAGGGCAGTCGTAAGAATATAATTATCAACTTTCTTAATTCATTATTTCTACAAAATAATTGTTTGAAAAAACATGTACACTAACCTTTATTAATTTATTTTTCTAAATCTAATAAGACCAATATGATATATTATAGGGGCATATTTTTTAATTTTTTAAGCTTTGATAATATTTTTATGGTTAAGTCAAATTTCATTAAGTACGGACAAACAAAACAAAATATTTGACGCCTCTCAAAATGGTTACAAAGCCATCAAAGGGGGAAAACCAGCCAATATTATTGAAGTTCTCTAACAAACACTAGCTTATTACCCGGCCCGTTGGCCGGATTACTGTATGTTACCCACTTGTGGAATGGGAGAGAAAGCAAGTGAGAGTGAAGGGATTGGGATTCCACTTGATTAGGACCGGCCCACTAATCCGATTCTTCCCGACCCGCCCCAACCTAAAGGGTCAGAAAGAGCCAATAAGAAAATACGAACGGAGAGAATTAGTAATATATCTTGACTCTTCAGAAGTGGGTCAAACAGGATAAAGGTTGGGTGAGGGCAATTTTTAGCGCTAAGCAGAGTTCTGGGTTGAATAACTTTACTTAGGCCTAGAAATTGGTGCTGATGCAGACTGCAGTTTTTATCATACCATCATCAATCATCATTGAATTAGTCCTGGGCATCCCTCCCCGTTGTCGGTCTGAATTTTAATGATGGCTTCATTCCTTGCACCAGCCATATCAGCGAGTTGTCATCTCGAGCATGATTTGCCTATGTACAAATGATACAATTAGAGTATGAAACTGAATTCAAAGAAAAGGAAAAGAGAATTCTATCACATGCCAATAAATACACACATAATAGTTGAAGCTAAGTGAAAGTCATTACTCGCACATCAATTCTCAAAAATTACAGACTAAACAATGGCTAGAATGGCACTGAAACTACCAAGAATCATGGACGAAACAACTTGTCAAATTAAATAATCCTTATACTGAAACTACCTTCTAACTTGAAATAAGACATGATCACAGTTCATAGCACTCTTATCACTATGAATTGGTTGCAGCTCGTCCTTATCACTACCTCCCAAGCTCAATTCAAACAGAATAGACACAGTTATGTAAGATAACCATATCCTTACTGATCATAATTCCTTTCTTCACTCCATTTTTGTCGGAGAAAAGAGTTATCCCCCTCTCATGCATTTCCCTTTCCCCCTCTCTTCTCCCTCTTCTTCACAAACTGATCCCTAAACCAGCAACAACAACACAAAATAGCCTTCGCCTCTGCCATCTCCATCTACTGAACGCGTTGGTGGCAAGACAGGACTGCAGAAGTAAAATTTCTAAAATCAAACTAAATTTTTTGAAGGAGACTCAACCACGAAAAAAGAGTAAAGCAACAATGCTAATAGTTCAGATGGTTGGTTTTGATGTTATACGTTGCTTTTGTTATGGTCTCCAGTGTATCAACTGCAACAGAGATGTTTCCTCCAATCATCTTTAGTGCACGATTTAGAAGTAAGTCCTCTTGTTTGTGTCAAACGGAAACATTCATGGGTTTCTTAACTCCCCTGTTAGTGTAAATGCATCAGCAGCAAAGAAGTTTGACAACACAGCAAGCACCCAGGCAAAATGATACAATGCAGTAGGTGATATGTGTCTCGAAGGTTTTGAGTTACTAAAGTTCATGTTAAAAATAAACATGAATTAAAATGGATTATTCTATTAAGCAAACATCCCCTCTAATCATACAAAGATCAGATATCTAATTCACAAACAATTAAGCCATAAAAAATCATCACACATCCACCACCTTTGATTGCCTATATTTGGTTTTTCGCAAAGTTGTGAACTCTTGAGGGTAAAGTTCATGGGTAGTCTGTTTCATAACTCTAGAGAGCACAGTAAGCAGCCACCAACCAGGCACAGTGCGGTAGGCGAATATGATTCTCAATTCACAATTTCTCACCACCGGAAGTAAGAACAGAACATAATAAGCGTAGCGTTCATGGGTGGTCTGTTTCATAGCACTACTACACAATTTGTTAAAAAAGAAGGAAAGGTATTTAGCATCACGGCGGAACAACTTTTACAGGCCAACAACGACAACATGCTGCAACCACCAGAACTGGTATCACAACTCATAGGGAAAGTCAAAAGATTTACTCTTAAATTAAGTAGTTACAACATCGAGCAATCGTCAAGCACATACACCATCACAAAAGTCACAGAACCTGATTCACAAAGCATTCAAACATTTGAGGACATTTCTGCAAAGATACAACTTATATGTCTTTTTTCCAAGCCATTTCCATCAACATGCTAATAAATTTGCAATGTATAAAACAAATGGGCCAAAACTTGAAATTCAACCTGTTTGACCGACCCATGCCAAATTCTAATTATTTACTTTCTATTTGAAAATAAAAAAATAGTGAAAGAAAAAAGACGACTACAAATTCGCCATTTGCACATCACTTATTCGGGAATAAAACCATATAAATTCAAAAGGAACTGAAAATGTTGAGGATTGTTTTAATGTTTAAAATAACCAAATAGATTTTTATGTTTAGTTTTTTACTAACAAATACCAAACGATTCCCTATAAAATACACTATAATTTGATCATTATGATGTCAAATAATTATAAAATATATATTTGAAATTATAAAAATTGGACTTATTGGGTTGGTCGAGGTTGAACCATTGAATAACTTTAAAATACATTATATTTTAGCCACTAAGATATAAAATAATAGCATAATATATATTATGCCAGAGAAAATAGCTTGTTTTAGAATGGCAAACCCATGATGTTCATTTATTTTACTTGATGACCAAATCCCATGTAGATCAGGCCCATTCAACTCTTTTATTTTATGGTTAGCGGTTAGCCCATTAGATACCATGCATTAGTCTATTGTTAAATTTTTTATTTTTAACAATAAAAAGGAGTATTATTTTTGCCTTTTCATATATATTTTATCACCACATATAAATAAAAGGGTATAAAAAAAAATTGACACTCCTGGACTCGTTTAAATCCGCATGTGTACGGTAAGTTGGCCCGTTCCATAGAGGAAAGAGAAAAAAATTGATACTCCCTATTTTACCCTTCCTACAAACGCTCATGGAACAGGGAATTTGAAATGGGGGAAGAGTTTTTTCCACCCTGCTATTATATGTTTTTAATTTAAAAGGATACAACAAATGTACTTATTGTGATTGGTTGTGATCCTTGCCTTTCTTTAAAATGGTCATGGTTCAAATCCCAGTACATACCTTTTTAATGAATAAAAAAAAGTAATTGTGAAGACCAAAATGTCCTTCCTACTTTCACTCTCGTTGCAGGAAATTTGAAATGGGGCTCCCGTTTTTGCCTTCGGTGTATTATATTATGTGTAGATAAATTCTGGCCTTCTTGTCGTTTTTCGATTTGATGGTCGTTTAGTCCTGTTTTGGATGTTTTAGATGCTTTGGAGGTATTCTGGGATATTTGGGTTATT